CTCTATTGGTGTCCTAATGCACCTTAATCATTAGGTGGCGACTCTTCAAATGCAAACCCAGTTCCCAAAAAGAACGAGTTGTCCCTCCAAATGTCACAAAAACCGATTTCCGCGGAGGAAAAAGGGGGCGCGACAAGTATTTCATCTGGGCCTAGGAAGGAATATACGTTGAAAAAATGATGGGTATGATGGGACAAAAATTCCCTGAATTGATCAAAATGGGAGATTTCTTAGAAGAAGATATAAAATCCGGCAAAGTACAATCCATGGCTACAATGGAAATAGGGTCAATCGACAGCGAAAAGAAGAAAAAAGAAGATGTCTCAGCAGTCCTCCCTTACGATCTGTCACGACCCAAACCGATGGGCCATAACGAGTGCCCGAGTCCTACCTATCGGACACCCCCAAGCATACGTCTAAGATATAAACATAAAATAAGGTTAGGTCATACATAACATCTTCCAATAAATTGCTGAATCATAGGAATAACATACGTGAGGATACATGCCCAAAAGACATGTATACATATACATACGGAATACAGTAGGGCAAGTCGACAGGGCGACATTCTATCCAACAATATATGACTGTCTACAGACCTCTAATAGTGTGTAAAACTATATAAAGGATGTGATTGGGCCTCTTCATACCCATTTATGTATACAAAAATATCTTACCAAAACACAATACCAGCTCTGGGTTAAATAGAGCACACCGACTCTCGCTGAGCAAGGATCCTAAGAAGGGAGACCGTCAGCCTGTCTACATGCACATGCGGGCGGGCAAGAGATGTAGGCCCTAGGCAATAGGGGAGTCAGTACGAATAATGTACCGAGTATGTAAGGCATAAAAATTAGAATATAAAAGATATGAAAGAAACATGGGGTAAAAGGGCTCAACATGTAAGTCTGAATAGCTTTGTGAATCACGAAACATTTATAATTTCATGCATATGCGCGTAAACGTCATATCATACATAGGTATATGCATACATAATATCATCAAGCCTCTTAGGGAATCCCAACGTATCATCTTGGCCTCAGTGGGCGTAATTATCAACATATACCAACTGATCAAGTGGTGGTGCATATATAACGTCGTAACCTTTCCCCATACACCATATATATATATATAACACCATCTGGTCATAAGTCAATGTACATGTATAAATGAATGCAATAATGAAGTAAGTCAATAAGATCTCTTGGGATGTCATACTATCAATATGCCTTCAGTTAATATCACGAAATAAACTTTACCAACTTACGTATTTTTTAAGACCTATGAACATACGATATAATAATTGGACATATGGGGAATCACGAACATAGGCAACCCTAGTACTTCTAAGAATATAGTAATTTGTGAAAGTTGCACGTTTGCTCGTTTCATTGTATCATATGGATCATGCCAAAAGGAAAGAAGGGATAGCCTTATCATACCTGAACCGATTTTCTTGTCAATCCTTCCAACACACATCAATCCCGACAAAACACATAACGGCGAGATCGTAGTAGGGAAAAATCCGTATGATGTCCTTGAGAAAGATTATACTTTGCTTTCATGAAATTTTGAGTTCATGTTGCTAGAAATCATCTCCAATGAACGTTCCATGGTGTTACATTATGTTGAACCTATCTATTCTTCAATTTAATTCTCAAATCAAGTGAAACATGAGGTATAATTGTAACATTTTTCCGTTTACACGTGTCCCCCTTAGCTTCTCTCTTGAGACAATGAGTTTAATAGTGCCACCACCATCTATGGGTGTAGATTAATCACCAATGTTGCTGCCACCATGTGACATGTGGAATGTTATCCACTACACCATTTATTCGATAATTCAGTTTAATTAGTCTTCCACTACAGTTTCTCAACCAGCATCATCACACTTTTAAGTCCTACATCATTTTGGGACTTCATATTTTTATACACCGTGCTCTTTATTTGCATACTTATCTATGACCAATATTCTTTCATGGCTTGGCTCTACTTACATACGCCGAGCGACTCAAGCCATAGATCGAAAAGCACATGGTATTATATTGACGAAACTTATTCTTTTTGATTTGTTGACCTCTAGTCCCTATGATACTTCCCCAACACTTTCTAAACTTAGCATAACCGCTCATAACCTCAAATTAATCATGTGCTTGAACTTATAAAAATTAACTTACAAAAAAAATCCAACTTACAAAAGCACGGGGATGTAACATCTTTCCCCCCATTAGAAACCATAATCCTTGAAAGTTAACTCTTAGAGACATGCGATTATTTTGCTAGAGTCTCCTTTGTAAACTGAACTACTTACTACCAACCTGTCACACATCTAACCAACTAATAAAAAGCCACACAGGGCCATATTCATCAATAACAACAATGGCCTCACACAAACAATGACAGTAACTGACATACGAATCTAGTAACCTATGCGCACCTAAAGGATATGATGTCTCAGTCTGATCCTCCTTTATAAGCAGAAACAAGTGAGGATACTGAGACATCATGTCTTCTTCTGCTTCCCAAGTCATCTCCTCCACATTCTTATTCTCGTAAGTACTTTACCGAAGCTACGTCCTTAGTTCTCAGTCTCCGCACTTGCTTATCTAGCATAGCAACGAGAGCTTCCTCATATGATAGCTGCTCCGTGACCTGAACATCATCAACTAAAATGACTCTAGAAGGATCTATGATACACTTACGGAGTATAGACACATGAAAGACTGGATGTACGTACACTAAGTCGGAAGGCAAGTCTAACTCATATGCTACCTGGCCTACTGTACATATGATCTTATAAGGTCCAATGTATCGAGGGCTAAGCTTTCCTTTCTTACCAAATGTCATAACGCCTTGCATCGATGATACCTTTAGGAATACCCAGTCGTCTACCTGAAACTCCATGTCTCGTCATCGATTATCTACGTAGGACTTCTGACGACTCTGAGCTACTAATAGCCTTTCATGTATAAGCTTAATCTTCTCAACTGGCTATTATAACAACTCTGGTCCTACTAACTTAGTTTTCCTAACATCGAACCGTCCGATAGGTGACCTATACTTCCGTCCGTAAGGAGCTACGTATGGAGCCATCTGAATGCTGGAATGATAACTATTATTATACCCGAACTCAATAAGCGGCATATGATCATCCCAGCTACCCCTGAAGTCCATCACACAAGCTCGTAACATATCCTCAAGTGTATGAATAATACGATCAGCCTGACCATCTGTCTGGGGATGAAATGATGTGCTAAGACTTATTTGAGTCCCCAATCCCTTCTGCAAGGACCTCCAAAAATTTGTTGTAAACTGAGCACCTCTATTTGAGATAATAGATATAGTGACACCATGAAGGTGTACTATCTTCTTAATGTAAAGCCTTGCATAATCCTTTGCTAAATACGTAGTCCTGGCATGCAGAAAATGGGCGGATTTTGTAAGTATATCAACAATCACCCATGTAAAATCGAACTTACGCTAGGTACGAGGTAAGCCTATGATGAAATCCTTTTTAATTACTTCCCATTTCAAAGTCGGAATCTCTATAGCCTGCAATAATCCACCGGGTTTCTGATGCTCAATCTTACTCTGCTGACAATTAGGGCACTAAGCAATAAACTCTGCTATGTCCATTTTCATTTTGCCCCACCAATATATTTCCCTGATATCATGACACATCTTTGTTTCTCCTGGATGAACAAAATAACGAGAATAGTAAGTTTCTCCCATAACCCGCTGGCGTAGCCCTGCAACATTAGGGATATATAATCGTCCTTGATATTTGTGGACCCATCTCCTGTAATCTCAAATAGCGTCTTCTCCTTCTAGGGGGATGTATTTCTTTAATGAGCGAACACAGGATCTCCTTTTTCAGTTACTAACGAAGATGTTGCCGTGTTCTGAACAGTAATTCTAGTAACACCCGAATCCAGTAATTGAACTCCAAGACTAGCTAGCTGATGAATCTTATTGGCTATCTCACTCTTCTCTAGCTGTAAATATGACAGGCTAACAAAGATCTACGGCTGAGGGCGTCGGCTACTATATTTGCCTTCCTTGGATGGTATACAATATCAACATCATAGTCTTTCAGTAGCTCCAACCATCTCCTCTGACGTAAATTCAATTCCTTTTGCTTAAAAATATATTGAAGGCTTTCATGATTCGTATAGATATCAACATGAATACCATACAAATAGTGCCTCCACATCTTTAGTGCATGAATCACCGCGGCTAACTCTAAATTGTGGGTCGAGTAATTCTTTTCGTGCATTCTTAGTTGTCTAAAAGCATAAACAAAAACCTTACCATACTGCATCAATACACAACCAAATCTAACGCCCGATGTGTCACAATAGATAGCATAACCATCGGTTCCCTTTCGGAGTGTCAGAACCGGTGGTGAAGTCAATCTGTCCTTTAATGCCTGGAAACTCTGATAAAAACCATCAGTCCACTAAAGGTTAGTTGAGTCAACTTTGTCAATGGTGCTGAAAGAGAAGAAAAGCCCTTTACCAATCTCCTGTAATAACCTGCACAACTCAGGAAGCTACAAACCTCCTTCGGTGTCGTGGGTGTAGGCCAAATCTTCACTGCCTCAATCTTCTGTGTATCAACCCGGATACCCACACTTGAAATAATATGCCCAAGGAATGCTACAGAATTCAACCAGAATTCACTTTTAGAGAATTTTGCTTACAACTTCATTTTTTGTAGAACTCTGAGCATAGTATGCAAATGATTTGCATGCTCAACCTCTAAACGGGAATAAACCAATATATCATCGATAAATACAATCACGAACAGATCTAGCGTCTGAACACACGGTTCATCAAGTCCATGAAAACTGCTGGGGCATTAGTAAAACTGAACGGTATAACACAAAACTCAAAGTGCCTGTATCTAATCCTGAATGTTGTCTTCGGAATATCTTTCTCTTTAACCCTTACCTGATGGTACCCAGATCTCAATTCCATCTTCGAGAAACACTTGGCACCCTAATCATCAATCCTTGGGAGCTGGTACTTATTCTTGATCGTTGCCTTATTCAACAACCTGTAACCAATACATATCCGCAAGGAACCATCTTTCTTCCCCACAAATAACACAAGTGCTCCCCACGGTGACGTACTAGGCCTGATAAAGCCTTTTTCAAGCAAATCCCTCGGTTGTTCTTTCAACTTTTTCAGCTTTGCCGGTGCCATTCTATAAGGAGAAATAGATATCAGCTGAGTATCTGTTAATATGTCAATAGAAAACTCAATCTTCTGCTCTAGAATAAGGCCCGGAAACACATTGGGAAAAACATCAAGAAACTCATTAACCACAGGGATAGGCGGAAGGGTTCGTGACTCTACTTTCACATCCTGTACCTAAACTAAGTGACAAATAGCTCTTTATGATCATCTTCCTTGCCTTGAGATAGGAAATAAACTTGCCTCTTGGCGATGCCATATTACCTTTCCACTCCAAAACTGTCTCCCTTGGAAATTGGAATCGAACCATATTTGATCTACAATCAACGTTATCATAACAAGAAGACAACCAATTCATACCCATTATAACATCAAATTCTACCATATCTAACTCAGTCAAGTCTGCTACTGTAGAAAGACTATGAACCACTACTATACAATCTCTATATACTCGTCAAGCTATCATTAGATCCCCGACAGGTGTAGGCACCTCAAAAGGTTTAATTAACTCAAGTTCTATCCCAAACTTACTAGAAACCAACAGCGTGACATACGATAAGGTGGAACCTGGATCAATCAATCCATATACATCATATGAGAATACTGATAATATACCTGTAACAACATCAGGTGACAACTCCTTATCCTATCGACACTCTAATGCATACGTTCAGTTCCGAGGACCGCTCGAGCTAGATGCTCCACCTATGCCTCTACCACAACCGATAGGTGCCTGTGAATTTTGCCCAAGGGGGCATATTTATGATGACGAGCCAGCTACAGATCCCACTAGCTGAACTATACCTCCACCACCTCGCGTTCGACAATCTCACATAACGTGGCCTACATAACCACAAGTATAACAAACACCCAACCCCAGAAGGCACTTCCCGACATGCTGATTACCACACTGAGCACATCGTGGCAAGGGCAACCTCATCTAACTCGACTCACCCCTGTATTGAGATCTAGAGGCCCAAGAATTTTGACTAGGCCCTGAATCAGTGGAACAATCAAATCTCCCACCGATAAATTGAGGGGGTGCACTAGCCGATGGTTGGGCTGATACCTTGGGTACTGCTCTTTGACCACCTCGAAACTCACTAGAAGGGCTTGAAGATCTCGCTCTCCTACTCTAGCCTCCATCATGCTCACGATCGTCCTTTTGCTTCTGCTTACGCTCATCTACACCTTGAGCGTATGCCTAAATACAAGAAATATCCGTGCCTGGCTGAAGTGAAACTAACATACAGTCATTAAGCAAGTGCGACTCCAACCCCATTACAAACCGGTGAACCCGATCCTCCATCTTAGCTATAATAGTGGGAGCATACCTAGACAAAGAATCAAACTAAATGATGTATTCCCGAACACTCATATTACCCTACCGAAGGCATAAGAACCTATGAACTTTGGCCTGTCTAAACTCTGGTGGCAAATAATGAAGAAAAAAAAGCCTCGGTAAACTCCTGCCATACTGCTAGAGGGGCATCCTCACCTCTGGATAACTCCCAAGACTCGTACCAATTAACTGCATAATCCTCAACTAATTCAGTCACGGTGGTTTTCATTACCCTCAAAGTCCTCTGCATATCATAACTGAGGGTCCTCGTTTGGATATGCTCCACTAAATACTGGGGGTCCTAATTAATGAAATCATGAGCCCTGCACTGATGGCCCTATCTATATGACCAATACCTACCTCCTAGCGCCGAGCCTGTGCGGTTACTCATCGAGTCAATAGCTGAATAACATGTCTCATCTCCTAACCTGGTGCATGTGGCTGAGGAGCTATGTGTACAGGTGCGGGCGCTGGAGCTGGTGCCCCTCGGATCTCCTTTAGAGAAGGCGGGGTAAGTGAATATTGAGATAGAATCTCACTCTTAGAATCTCTCCGAGCCATGGTAACACGTGGCGCTCGACCAGTAGTCTCATCAGCCACGGACTTGCCAATCTGGTGGTTATAGCCTTCTTAGGCATTATTGAAAATATAACATATCATTAGGAAAATGAATCCTTATATCGTGCAATCTTAGATAAGAAGGGAGGATAACATCCTATATGTCCTGTAGCCTCCTATTTATAAATGTGGTGCACAACACACTCATAAACAAGACTCTACTAGACACGGTCTTTAGACAACCGTATGACAGAACTACTCTGATACCACTTCTGTCACGATCAAACCGATGGGCCATGACAAGTGCCTGAGTCCTACCTATCGAACACACCTAAGCATACGTCTATGATATAAACATGAAATAAGGGTAGGTCATGCATAACATCTGCCAATAAATTGTTCATAATCGGAATAACGTATGTGAGGATACATGCCCAAAAGATATATATACATATACATACGGAACACGGTAGGGCGAGTCGACAAGGCCACATACTATCCAACTATACATGACTGTCTAAAGACCTCTAGTAGAGTGTACAGCTATATAAAGGACGGAACTGGGCTCCGTCATACCCATATATGTATACAAAAATATCTCACCAAAATCTAATACCAGCTCCCAGTCAAATGGAGCACACCGACTCTCCCTGAGCAAGGATCCTAAGAATAGAGATCGTCAGCCTGTCTACTTACACCTGCGGGCAAGAAACACAAGCCCCAAGCAATAGGGGCATCAATGCGAATAACGTACCGAGTATGTAAGGCATGAAAATCGGTATATAAAAGACATTAAAGAAACATGGGGTGAACAACTCAACCTGTAAGTCTTAATAGCTATGTGAATCATGAAACATTTATGATGTCATGTATATGCATATAAATGTTATATCATGCATAGGTATATGCGTATATAACATCATCTAGCCTCTTAGGGCATCCCATCATATCATCTTGGCCTCAGTGGGCAAAATCATCAACGTATACCAACTGATCAGGTGGTAGTGCGTACATATTGTCGTATCCTTTTCCATACCCCATATACATACATTCATACATATATATATGTGTGTGTGTGTGTGTGTGTATATATATATATATATATATATATGCGTATATAATGCAATCTGGTCATGGGTCAAAGTACAAGTATAAATAAATGCAATGCATAATGAAGTAAGTCAATAAGATATCTCAAAATGTCATACTATCAATATGCCTTCGGTTAAAATCATGAAATAAACTTTTTCAAATTATGTATTTTCTAAGACCCATGAACAGACGATATAATAATAGGACATATGGGGAATCAAGAACATAGGCTACCCTAGTACTTCTAAGAATATAGTCATTAGTGAAAGTTGCGTGTTTGCTCGTTCCATTATATCATATGGATCATACCAAAAGGAAAGAAGGGATAACCTTAACATACCTGAGCTGATTTTCTTGACAATTCTTCCAATACATGTCAATCCCTAAAACACACGTAACAGCGAGATCGAAATAGGAAAAAATTCGTACGATGTCCTTGAGAAAGATTATACTTTGCTTTCATGAAGTTTTGAGTTCATGTTGCTGAAAATAATCTCAAATTAACGTTCGTTGCTGCTACACTATGTTAAACCTATCTATTCTTCAATTTAATTCTCAAATCAAGTGAAACAAGAGGGATAATTGTATCCTTTTTCCATTTACATGTGTCCCCTTTTGCATCTCTCTTGAGACATTGAGTTTAATAGTGCCACCACCACTTATGGGTGTAGATTAGTCACTAATATTGCTGCAACCATGTGACATGTAGAATGTTATCCACTACACCATTTATTCAATAATTCAATTTAATTTGTCTTCCACTATAATTTCCCAACCACCATCATCACAATTTTTAGTCCTACATTATCATTTTGGGACTTCATCTTTATATACACCGTCCTCATTATTTGCATACTTATATATGACCAGAATTCTTTCATGGCTCAGTTCTACTTACATACACCGAGCAAATCAAGCCATAAATTGAAAGCACGTGGTATTATGTTGACAAAACTTATTCTCTTTGATTTGTTGACCTCTAGTCCCTACGATACTTCCCCAACACTTTCTAAACTTAGCATAACCACTCATAACATCAAAATTAATCTTGTCCATGAAATCATACCAATTAAGTTACGGAAAAAAATCCAATGTACAAAAGCACAGGATTTAACTCGCCTCGAGCCTATAGCAACCCGAATCTACAATGACCAGATGCTCCTGTCCAAACCACTGTTTACCGTAAAAATGGTAATTACAATTAGATTTGATTTTGTGGTTCTAAAAATACGTGATCTATTTTTATGCTAGTCGTTAAGCGATGGATGCTAAGTAAAAGGTTAGAAATCAAGATTGCAGCTTAGAGACGGTATGATAATCGAACCAAACAGTTGGAGATCGGGGCCTCGAGCTTGCTTATTTGGGGCCTCGCGCTCGAGTCCTATACTCTATCGTCGGCAGTCGATGGAAGGATTAACGATTATTATAGATTCAATGATTGCTCTTTATGGCCAATAATAAGCAATAAATGAAGAACAATAAATAGAACATAATGAATGTAAACAACAAATGGAAGTAAAGAGCTTATGAGAATATGTTAGAGAGCAAAGAGAATGTTTTTGTGTATTAGTATTGAGCAACAAATGTCTACAATATGACAAGGATCCCCTTTATATATTAGGGGGAACATGGTACAAATGCATTCATTACAAAGATATGGGGCTGACACAGCCATTGAATGCCCTGATACTAGTCAGAGCTAGCTTACTAGACTTTGCCAGTTCTAGTCGTGCGCCTATGGAACTTCACATTGATCCACTGAGACAACTAAGTTGCATTGCCTCGAGGCCGGCCATTATTTACACTACCTTGAAGTCGATCACCGAGAATCCTCGAGATGTCTTGATGATCGCAAAATAGAACCGTTGATTTCTATCGTATACAGATAGTCCCCGCGTTCCCTCTCATGAACGACTTTGAACTCCTACTCCTTATGTGCTGTCCATATGACATCAGCCCATCAGAGCATTAAATGCCATAACTCAAAAGCCGCACAAGGGTCGTCGTCAACACGACTATCGAGAAGCCCATATGGCTTCTATAATACACTAATCGTTTGATAATTCAACTTTTTACAACATCTTCAAGCTTTCAAAGCCAAGGCCATCCCCTTTCACATTCCTCCTTCTTCTGTTCTTGATTCTTTACTTACTTTCTCAGAGAAGCCCTTTCACCACCATGGCTAGAACCTCTAAAACAGTGCCTCGAAAAGAGGACGCTGCCTCTTGTTCTCGAACGTCCAAAGGAAAGCCCAAAGTGATACCCACCGTTGAACAGTGCACGCCTATAGAGTTTAACTTGGCAAAGGATTTTTCCGTTGACTAGCCCTTGTCCACACTGAGCCGATGCGAACATGTGTCCCGATATATCAGTGTCGTGACCGATATAGGGAATGTGAAGGAAGACTGTAGGCAGTGCTGGTTGAGATCCCCCATCCTAACGAGAGCATAACAGACCACAAGGTCGGTTTCCTTTATGTATACACATACCCATTCACTTTGGGTCCTGTCGATTCGTCGAAACCTTCTTCCTCGATGATAGATTTTGTTATTCTGGACTTCCGTGACAAGTATCGAGTGATGCTCAGCCAAATCTATTCATCTTTCTAGAGGACACTCTACATGCTCAATTACTTGTCCAACAGGGTCGTAGGTACCACTTTACCCTCGATCATTGGATTAGATTGTACAGCCCTCAATTTTATCGAGGTTTAATCAAGCTTCACCCTTGGTCCAAGAAGCCATTTTTCTCGAGCATTGATGAGGAAAAGGACCAAGGGTGGATGAGCAGGTTTGTCCAAGTGAGGACCTCGGACATCATCCCGCCTGAAAGGATGCCTTTCCCGGAGGAGCGGAACGCGCAGCGTAAGTATCTCTCCTTCGAACATGTATTATTGTCTTCTTACCTTTCTTCCAAAAAATGATCTCCCCTTTGTTTATGCAGCTACCGTTTGGTATCCTAAAGCGGTCCAAGATCTTCCAGGATGGATTAAACAATTGGATGTTTCGTTCCCGTTTCTTGGGCGGTCTTGGCCCGACCTGGATAAAACGTGTTGGGTGGCTAAGAATCATTGTAAAAATCCTTCTTGCCACCTATATTATATTTTTATATTTCTTCCCCATATCTTCCCTTTTAATAAATTTTGATCGCTATGTTTGCGCAGGCATTGGCGACCAAGCATTGATGAGACCGCCTCCCGATGGCAAGGTGTAGGCTCGGTGCCTGATAAGAGCGAGAAGAGGAGGAAAGAGGCGGTTGTTGATTCCCCTACAGCAAAGAAAGATAAATCACGCAGGATTCGAGCTGCTGCTAGGACCTCGGCTTCAGCTTCCGGAGCAAGTCCCAGTACTGGGGTCGAAGACAATTATGTGTATGAATATCGTTTGGTTCGAAGGACGAGGTCGGGCGCGGATATCCTGCAGGAGTCCCGACCGAAGGCCACTGAATTGGGATCGGTCGATTCAGATCGATCCCATGTGATGGAACCCTCGAGGAGGGTGCGAACGCAGTCCCTGAGCCCTTGGTCGAACGTGATGCTGTTTCTTCTGAGGAGACTGTTGCTGCTGGCTCCAAAGGGTCTGGGCCCGGAGCCTTTCGGAGACAGGATTTGCCCCTTGGTGATATCGAAGCCCTGGGTGGTCTTAACTTGGGTGCTCGGTTCTCGCCCGGGGAATACAGGGAAGCTCAGGACCCAAATGTTACCAATGTGGAAGGTCCCCTCGGAGGGGGAGGAGAGCTTGACAATTTCTTCGATGGCGCTGACAATGTCAGTGAGGAAAATGATCTCGATGCTCCCAACTCTATCGAGAAAGCGCATAGGCTCCATCAGAAGGTGATAGTTTTTCATTTACACTTTTCTGGTCTTAAATACCTATCTTCGTTTTTCCTGACTCTTCTATTTTGTTGTAGGC